TTTCTTTCTCCTCCATCTACTGCTGTAGTCGCTCTTCTTGTTTATTTTCTGTCTTCTCTAGCCACTGCTGTAATCTCTCTTCTTGTTTATTTTCTTTCTCCTCCAACCACTGCTGTAATCTCTCTCGTTTATTTTGCTGTTCGAGCTGCCACTGTTGCAAGTTATCTTGCCACTGCTGTAATATCTCTTCTTGTTTCTTTTTCCTCCAACAACTGTTGTAATCTCTCTCCTTGCTTCTATTCTTTTTCCTCCAACAACTGCTGTAATCTCTCTTCTTGTTTATTTTCTCCTTTCTACTTGTTTCTTTCTTTTTCCTGCAACAATTGCTGTAATCTCGCTTCTTGTTTCTTTTCTTTTCCTCCAACAACTGCTGTATTATCGCTTCTTTTCTTTTTCCTCCAACAACTGCTGTAATCTCTCTTCTTGTTTATTTTGCTGTTCGAGCTGCCACTCTTGCAGGTTTTCTTGCAACTGCTGTCGTCTCTCTTCTTGTTTCTTTTCTCGTTCTTCTTGTTTCTTTTGCTGTTCTTGTATTGCTGCCATCAAATCTGCTAAGCTGTAGTTTGATTTGCCACTTCTCGTTTCCTTTTTTTTTTCCATCCCACTTCTGACACCAATTTGTTACGTCTCTGGTCGTTTGTTAATATCCCGTATAATTTCTTTCGGATGAAACTTTAGCGATACAAGTCCTTTCTTAAATAAAACTAGTTTATTCTTTCTTAATACAACTTTGCAATGCACTTAATTTCCACAATCAGTTTAACTTAAACATACACTATAATTCACAACGAACGATTACTACCACGCTTGACTCAATTGTCTGTCTCTGTTTGTCTGCAGGCCTGGCATGGCCAGGTGGTTAAGGCACTCCACTCGCAATCTGAGGGTCGCGGGTTCGAATCCGTCACACCAAACATGCTCGCCCTTTCAGCCGTGGAGGCGTTATTATGTGATGATCAATCCCATTATTCATTGGTAAAAGAGTAGCCCAAGAGTTGGCGATGGGTGGTGATGACTAGCTGCCTTCCCTCTAGTTTACACTGCTAATTTAGGGACAGCTAGCGCAGATAGCCCTCGTGTAGTTTTGCGCGAAATTCAAAAACAAACAAACAAACTGTCTGTCAGCAATTCTATATCGATTCATTGTCTGGCGCACTTATATACAAGAATAGAGGGCGCCTAGCAAATACTGGATTATTCGTGATGTTCCCCGATCTTTCTAGAACTCATTACGTGTTACCAGTATCACGTGACTTCCGCTGTCGTAACAATATTAGCAAATGTACAACATTTCGCCATCAGTACAAAGCCATGCACATTTGTTATTAAGCTAAACTTGTAAAAAAGTTTCCTTCGTTACTCGTTCAAATGGTCTCCAAACTTTACTAGCTTGGTTGTTTATGTGTTGAATTTTGCTAAAAGATGCTCGAGGGCTATCTGCGCCAGCCGTCCCAAATTGAGAAGTGATAGTTTGGAGGGAAGGTATCTTGTTAGCACCACCCACCTCTAAATGTTAACATCTTTAATCGAATAGTGGGATTGATCGTCACATTATAATGCTCCCACGGCTGAAAAAGCGAGCATGTTCGGTGATTGAATTCGAACTTGCGACCTGCAGACTGCAGGCCCATCGAGAAACTTCGTTTAATATCTAGAGATGAGGCTTAGGGTACATTATTTATAAATGCAAGTAATCGGTTAGTAAAGGTAATAAGAATTCGGTGAGTTTATGAGTTCAGTGTCAGAAAAGTTATTTACCGTTCAGTATTGTAAATGAGATTTATTTAATCGAATGACTATCGAGGAAATTATGTGATTAGGTTTATTTGTGAATTATAGACGTGTTTGCCATTAGTCTCGAAATTTCTATTGAAATACTGTTTGTGCACTTAGGCCTACAACTAAAATTGAAAGTAGTCGGTAGCATACGTTAAGAAAGAAATATAATTAGTTTTTGTTAGTGAACTAGATTTCGAATTATTTTTTACCAGATAATCCAAAGAACAATAAGTTATGTCAGAAGTGGGGTTAATTTGTTGAATAAAAAATTGACTAAACTCGAGCTTTCAACTGTTTAAGATGACGACAACACAGGTAAAAAGCAAGATCGAAACCGTGATATAAATAAAAAAGTTCAAAGAAGGTTGATGAAAAAGAGATAGAAAATTAAAAGAAGAAAGAGACACAAAATTAAAGGAACTAGACAGAAAATTAAAAATATAAAGTTAAATTTGATAGATTTCTTTTCTTTTTTAACTATAATTCGTAAAATTGGGACATGCATTACTCAATAGGGTTTTAACTTTAACCTTCTCCTAAGGCTAATTTGGTCAAGTAGAGAGTAAACACCTTCTTGTCAAATTCTTCTACAGGAATAACAACATGCTGTTCATTTAACACGTCGAGCTCTTCTTGTCATCAAATCAGGCAGTACTGGCAGTTGAGATCACCCATTATCTTCGCAGTCCATTGGCCAACTGATTTATCAGGCACAAAACTCGAGGCTTTATTCTCATATTTAAAACACTGTTGAGGCCCGAGAGAGCAAAATTTTATAATTTTTCTATAATTTATGCAGATTTTCACTTAGATTTTCATCGATTTTTCATGGGTTTCTACAGGAATTCACCTAGAATTTATACAGTTTTACATCATATTTACATAGGACTTTACAAGGATTTTAGAAGACCTTCTCTAAAAGATTTTCATGCAATGTTTCTGTAACTTTCACCTCTACACAAGGGCGCCCGTAAGAAAAAAATTGGGGTAGAGGGGTCAAGTAACTCAAGTTTGAAATATTATAAAATCGAAATACAAATACCTTATGATTTTCCAATATCATAGAAGAAGAATTTTACATATCTAGTAATTTTTTCTTTTTGAAAATTCAGGGGGTCAAGTGACCCCCTTGCCCCTTCCTGCGGGCGCCCATGCCTCTATATGAGAATTCTTAAAATTCTCACCTTTGAGTGTCAGTAACAAGTTTATATATTTTTGTGTAATATTACTTTCTGAGAACACTACAAGTTCTCTTGCAACTTTAAAGTTAACTTTCGCTTTCGTTTGTGCAGGCGCCGTTTGGCTTTTGCCTTTAATTTAGTTAAATATTTATTGTTACAACAGCGGAATTCACGTGACGCTGGTAACACGTAATGAGTATCTAGAACGTTCGTGAAGGCTCGAGTGTTCTCCAGACGCCCTCTATTTCATATATATAAGACCGGCGAGAAGTGACGGCATAGATATAGATAATTGCAGACAGGCAGAGATAGAGACGGACAATTGAGTCAAGCGCGGTAGTAATCAAAGCGAGTGAA